AATCTTAAACTGCTATGTTATACTATTTTCACTTTTGTAAAGTTTATTAGAACTCTAGTATTTATTTTTCTAGCATTTTCTTCATCATCCCCTACTAGTCATAACTCAGAACTGGCAGTCTCTTTTAGACTACCAATTTAGATGACCCAATATGATATACTTCTGTATTTTTTTTCTATAATGAATCTAGCAACCTGGTTGGTTTTGTGCTTCTCTACACATTTGATGTCCAATTTAACCTTTAGTTTCTATGAAGGTGTTTCATAGGCTTCAACCAGTCTGATGGTACCATCAAAAGTTCATGCTACCTCTTTATTTAGGAATTTTCAAATAGGTTTCTGTCACTTTAGTTTCTTAGTCTTCTATGTCTGTTGGTTTTATCATGAGTTTGCACAAAAGTTTTATGCAACACCAGTTATACATTTCTCTATGTACATGTAATGTTACAATTTATATAGATGCTCTGAGCTCCCAATGTTAGTAGGACTGACTTGGTGAACCTGGGTTATAACCACATAAGGCCAACTGATTAATAGGAGATAGTTACTGTAATGCAGATATAATTTTAAATTTTATCATAGGTGAATTTGAACCTTAGACCTGCCACTTGAAGGATGACAATTCAATTACTATACTAGGATTATCATCCTCTTCTTAGCTGTTTTATATATAACATTGTAATGTATTCTTATTATATTTTTTACTAGAGCAAGTAAAAGTGTAGTAAAACCAATAGCTATTACATATTTTGTTTCAAGATGTAAATACAAGTTGCAACCACTTTTCATTATTGTTTCAAAAATGCACATGCAGAAACAACCTGGTTTTCATCACATTTATAGAATTGCTAAGTGTAATATAACCACCAGTAATATATTTGTTTTAAGATAATATATAATAAATCAAATTTTTTGTAAAGTTATGGGCAGTTAAAAGTAGAAACCACTGAATTTGACAATTTTTTCAAAAATAATCTTTTTAATTAATTTAATAGAGTTTTTGCCAACAAATATTTTTTATTTAATAATGAAAACCTGATTAATTAATAAAATTTTAAGTTACAAAAGTTTACGTTGTTTAACCTTTTTTTACAGAATATTCTAAAAATAAAAAAAACCAGTTTCATCAATAGATTGTTAGTTTATTATCTACATGATTTTTTTAAAAGTACGTAATTTTTTAATTAATTTTAAGTAGTGATATTTTTCACTTTCAATAGTGGTTTCTTCATAGTTTCTTATTTTTTTAGGTTGTCACTTTATGGTGATGTTTTTTAGTTTCGTTTTTAAAGTGGTTTCTTCTTTAATGTAGTTTTATTCAATTAATAGTAAGATTTTATATCGTTATGTGGTAGTTCTTTTTGGGTTCTTCTGGTAATATTTAGTTCATTTTGGAGATTCTTCTGATGATTTTTGAAGCTTCTTGAGTGCTTCCAGTGGCTTTTGAAGGTTTTTCTGATAATTTTTGGAGGCTCTTTTTAGATTCTTGGTACTTCTGGCGCTCTTTGGCGATTTTTTCTGGATTTTTATACTTCTGGCATTTTTTGGTAGCTTTTATATGACTTTTTGGTGTTTCTTTTTGGATTATTGGTACTTACGATATTTTTTGGTGAATTTTAGATCTTAGGCTTCTTTCTCAGGTTATTTCTGGATTCTTGGTACTTTTGGCATTTTTGAAAGTTCTTCTGATGGCTTTTTGGTTGTTCTTTCTGGATTATTGGTACTTTTAGCATTTTTTTACAGCTTTTAGAGGTTATTATGATGATCTTTTGGTAGTTCTTTCTGGATTCTTGATACTTCCAGCATTTTTTGATGACTTTTGGAGGTTCTACTGATGACTTTTTGGTATTTAATCAGAATACTTGATACTTTTGATGGCTTTTGAAGGATCTTCTGATGGCTTTTTGAAGGTCTTTCTGGATTCTTAGTACTTCTGACATTTTTTGGTGACTTTTGGAGTTCTTCTGACAACCTTTTGGTGTTTCTTTCTGGATTCTTGGTACTTCTAGCATTTTTTGGTGACTTTTGGAGGTTCTTTTAATGACTTTTTGGTGTTTCTAGATTCTTGGCGTTTTTTGGTAAATATTAAAGGTTCTTCTGATGACTTTTTGATATTTATTTAAGATACTTAGTAGCTTTTTGAGATTCTTCTGCTGGCTTTTTGGAGGTTCTTTCTGGATTCTTGGTATTTCTGATATTATTTGGAGATTCTTCTGATGACTTTTTGGTGTTTCTTTCTGGATTCTGGTACTTTTAGTGTTTTTTGGTGGCTTTTGAAGTTTTTTGATGACTTTTTGGTGTTTCTTTTTAGATTCTTGGTACTTTTAGTGTTTTTTGGTGACTTTTGGAGGTTCTTCTAATGACTTTTTGGTGTTTTTTGACAAATTTTGGAGGTTCTTCTGATGACTTTTTGGTATTTATTCAGGATACTTAGTACTTCCAACGGCTTTTGGAGGTTCTTTTGATGGCTTTTTAGAGGTTCTTTCTGGATTCTTGATATTTCCAGCGTTATTTGGAGGTTCTTCAGATAACTTTTTGGTGTTTCTTTCTAGATTCTTGGTAATTCCAATGTTTTTTGGTGGCTTTTGGAGTTCTTCTGATGACCTTTTGGTATTTCTTTCTGGATTCTTGATAATTCCAGCATTTTTTGATAACTTTTGGAGGTTCTTCTGATGACTTTTTGGTGTTTCTGGATTCTTGATATTTTTTTGGCAAATATTGGAGTTTCTTCTGATGACTTTTTGGTATTTATTCAGGATACTTAGTACTTCCTACGGCTTTTGGAGATTCTTCTGATGGCTTTTTGGAGGTTCTTTCTGGATTCTTAGTATTTCTAATAGTATTTGAAGGTTCTTCTGATACCTTTTGGTATTTCTTTCTGGATTCTTGATACTCCAGCATTTTTTGGTGGCTTTTGGAGTTCTTTTAACGACCTTTTGGTGTTTCTTTCTGAATTCTTGATACTTTCAGCATTTTTAGATGACTTTTGAAGGTTCTTTTGATGCCTTTTTGGTATTTATTTAGGATACTTGGTACTTCTGACAGCTTTTAGAGGTTCATCTGATGGCTTTTTGGAGGTTTTTTCTGGATTCTTGGTAATTCTAGTGTTATTTGGAGGTTTTTCTAAATTCTTGGTAATTTCAGCATTATTTGAAGGTACTTTTGATGATGTTTTGGTGTTTCTTTCTGAATTTTTGGTATTTCTGATGTTTTTTGGTGGCCTTTTGGAGGTTTTTCTAATAACTTTTTTGGTGGTTCTTTCTGATTCTTAGTACTTCTGGCGATTTTTTGGTGGCTTTTGGAGTTTCTTATGACTTTTTGGTGTTTTTTTCTGTTTTCAGCATTTTTTAGTGACTTTTAGAGTTTCTTCTGAAGGCTCTTTCTGGACTCTTGGTCCTTTCTATGTTTTTTGGTAGTTTTTGAAGAGGTTTTTTTCTGAATTCTCAGTACTTCTAGCATTTTTTGGCAGCTTTTTGGTGTTTCTTTCTAGATTCTTAGTAGTTTTAGTGTTTTTTGACATTTTTTTTTGGATAATCATAAAGGTTCTTTCTGGATTTTCTTTCCGAATACTTGGTTCTTTCAGTATTTTTGGAGGTTTTTCTGATGAGTTTTTGGTGTTTTTTTTGGGTTTTTTTAATTGTCAGCATTCTTTGATAGTTTTTAAAAATTCTTCTAATAATTTTTGGTGATTTTTTCAGGATTCTTAGGTTCTTTTAGCAATTGGTGGTTCTTTCTGGATTCTTTAAAAATTTAGAAAGGATTACCACTTGCTAAGAGAAACTAATTAAGGTTTTATAGTTGAAAGTTTTTTTAATTTTTTTTTTGGATGTTTTTTTTTGAGATTTTTTTATATTTATCTATAAAAAAGTCTAATAAAAATAAATTATTAATTTGTCTTGAACTATTTTTTGAGATTATGTAATAAATTGTTATAATTAGATTTATTTATAATTAATAAATTTTAAAAATAATAGAAGTATTTTATTTAATAGTTTCAGGTTTTGAAACTAGTAATAAAAAACAAAAATAATCTTTTTTTAAAGGATTTTGTATATGTGTTCTTATTTCTTCATAAAGATATCATTGTCTTGCAGCTGATAATCCTAATAGAAATTTTTGAATAGGAAAAAAATTTATAGATGATAAATTTTGATTATTTTTAACTAAATTAATTTTTTGTTCAGGTTTATTAATTGCTGTTTTAATAAATAAATAACCTATATTATTATTACTAAAATAAAAATAATGTTGTTTTAAAATTTAAGGAACTGTATCAAAATAATTATTTAAAAATAATGTTCAATTAAAAAATTTAACTTTATGTTTTCCATTTTCAACAATTAATTGTGATATATTATAATTATTTAATGTTGAATCTCTAACAACTTGTACTAAATCTTCTAAATCATCAACTTCTGAGTTGTGAAGTTTTAATTTAAATAATCCAAAAAATTCATCAGGTGAAAATTTTGTATATCTAGCTATCATAAAAGAATATGTAATTGTTGTATGAAGTCCTGTTATTACTCTCCAGATTAAATATTTAATCATTGCATTATTTTTATTTTGTCTAGCACAATTATCAGCATATATAATTAAATGTTTTTCTCCAATATTATGATTTTCAAAATAATGATGTACTAATGAAATAACTATATCAGCTCCTTTTCTAACTATTTTTTTTTCTTCAATTAAATAATTAACCTATAAATATAAAGTTTTATAAATTATTAAATTAAATTTTAAAATTATTATATTAAATTAAAATAATATAAATAAATATTATAATTATATTTATTTATAATATATTTTAATTATTATATTATATAAATATTACTTGATGTAGAAAAGCATCTTCACATATACCAAATACTGCAACTTTATAACAAGATTTAAAATATATAGTTCTCTAAAAAATTTAATTAATATTAAAAATTTATTATAAATATTAAATAAAATAAAATAAAATTTATATACTTCTTGTTGTGATGAATAAGATAATTAAACACTTTTAGCAAAATCCCATGAAATATGATTTTTAATATCAATAATATTAGAAATATTAGGTCCTAAAAATTGAATAGTATTAGATATAGCCAATTTGGAATTTAGAATACAATTTCTAAAAATTAAAAATTATTTAAAAAATAAAATTAATATAAATAAATAATATAAATATAATATTTTAATATATCTATAATATTCTCTTTCTTGTTTTGCCCAATTATTATAAATTGTCTATTCATTTATTGTTTGTTTTAATTGTGCTTCTGGAATATGACTAATATTAAATCGCATAGTTTTGTATTTAATACATAAATCACTTCAAGGTGAAAAAAATTTAATACTTGAAAGATATAATTTCCAAATATTAATAAAACTTGTTGAACTAATTGATATATTAGAAGTATTTGAAATTATTGAATTATATAAACAAAAAAACTTAAATAACTATCAGTTACTGGAAGAAAAATAATAAGTTTTGTTTCTTCATTAAAATGATGACCTAAAATAATATTATTATTATTATAATTAAAATTAAATAATTTTTAAAAAATTTATACTAGAATAAAAACTCTTTTTGCAAATCCATTGCACAAAAATTAACTAAAAAATCTTTTATCTAAAAACACTTATATCTTTTTATTTTACTAAGACAACCTGTTTTGGCGTCTTAAGTAAACTTGTTCAGCTCATCAATTTATATATCTCTTGAAATTTTATAAGTTTATCTCTTAAACTTATAGAGAAAACTGTACTGACGGTCTTTGGCCTCCAGTTTTAAAATTTTAATTCTCTTGCAGTTTCTACTACAATAACTTATCTTATACCTTTAATTAAAGTTGTAGTACATATTTGCCTGGTCAAAACAAGCTCTGAAAGAAGAATTTTGATCTGATATTGGCTAAGATACAGCTAAAGTTACCTTTTACTCTCTTGCAAAAGCTTTTTTCTACTTTTTGTCCTTACCCATTTCCTTTTTCTCTTACACGGTTTTCATGTAGCCATACTATCATTTCCTAAATTATATTTTATTAATTTACACCAAAATTCTGTACTTCATCTATTTATAAAAATTCATTGAACACAATCAGTTACTTCCTTATTTGGTTTTTATTAATTGTATACAACAATTTGTGTTGCAAACCTTATTTGTACCAGTACCCAAGTCATCTTTGTGACCCAATCACTCTAGTTACACACCAGTATTACATCTGTAATACCTCAATCATACAATCTTTGTTTCTATCCATCATCCTTGTAAAATTACTACCTAACTATTAGAAATTTTTTTAAGTTTTTAATACAATATTCACTTAATTTATAACAAACTTCACAAATGACTACATTAACCAACCAAGATTCTGATACTGCAGATCTTGATTACTTCTACCAAAACTATTCTAACAGTTTTGGAATTGCTCTTTATAAAGAAGAAAATAATAACAATGCTCGTCCAATCCTTCCCAAAGTCAAACCAACTACTTGTTTAACTAAAAATCTCAGATCCAACAAAATTACTCATTTTTTTCAAGCTTCTACTTCTACTTCTGTGATTACTTGTCTTTGTGGCAAATACCACATCAAATTCATCTCAACTACTAACACTAACCATATCCAAGCTACTGAATTTACTACAGTTTATGTTAACAGTAATGTAAAAAAGAAACTTAACAACCAGCCCAACAACTTCTAACTAATCTCTCCTCTTCAACTAACAATATCTCTTCATCTTCCACTCCTAATGTACCCTATCATACCTGCCCTAAATGTTCTCTTCCAATTGGCTGTACCAAGAGAAATGATCACCATTACCCAAATGAAAAATACATCACTAAAA